CCCCCACCAGCGGCGAGGAACGCCGTCCGACACAAAGTGAACCTGACACTCATCGGTGCCCCCTAAGAAGATGCCGCCCTAGGCAGCCGCCTATAACGCCTAATGGGTTGATCGGCACTGGTGTTATGGCGCTGAAACTGTAACGTCTTCACATATTTTGATGCTGTCGTTTGATGCATTTCTCTGGGGACGACCCACCCCAGTGAAAATCAGGGCTGCCTGGCACTATGAGGTAAGCATATGGTCCCCAGAGAAAAGCTGACCCACTTTACACGCAAACCTTTGGAGTTAATTTCAGAAGGAGAACGTGAGTTTTCAGATTTTCAGGACCCTGTTATATATAATCAGAGTGGGATGGCATCGAGTTTCCCAGACTGCCTAGCAACGCCGCCTTTAATCTCCTCGGTAGCTAACCGAATTAAGAACACCGAGATGGTGACCCTCCTGTGATTTGAAACGACGCTAAAATAAACTATTATAAACCCAGTGGAGGGTTGATGCCGGTTTCCAGTAACTCATCTGAGTCCCCGGTCTCTTTTGCAGGAAGATTTGGCTGAGTAAGGAAGGGAGTCCCGGCTGTCACATCTCCCGAGCGGTCTTCTCCAACGAGAGGGACATCCCCAAGCTGGAGATCAAGGGCTTCGGCACACGCTACTAGGCTCCGCCCCATCTCACCTGCCCAGCCCCCCACCTGCTCCTGCGACACACCACAAGGTCCCATTGACTCTTGCCAACTGGCGACGGACCGGCTTGTCCTCACTGCCTGCCATGCTTTCTGGAAAGGTCTGCTGCCAACCGCCACGACGCCCCCCCCCCCTCCCCCGGAAGGGAACCAGGTGTTAAAACAACACTGCTTCACCTTCCTCTGTTTATGGGCTTGAGAAATCCTAGAGTAGAGTTCCAGGAACATAAATTAAAGATGTTTTAATGAGACAGGTCTGAGGGTTGGTGTTTATCACCGCTGTGCTAACGTGCTAATGCTTCAGATGTTTGTGGGAGTTGTTGGGGATGATTTATTTTAGCCCCCGGGGATGATGGGAGCTCGACTGCACCAGGGGAAATGCCAACGTTCTTCTGTCCGAGTGCTGGATGCTTTCCTTGTGTGTCCGGGGTGTCCATATAAAATCATCCCACGATTCCGCTTTGAAATCCACTTCAGGTCAGCAGTCGCACTGAAATTCTCTTTTTAAGGTGCAGTACAGGTTATGTGTTTTAGATAAATAGGGTAATAAGAGATGAACACCCAGTTCAGTGACTTAAACACCTACCAACACAAATGGATCATCTGCACACGCTCCCCCCCCCCACCCATCTTATTTAAATCTAATTTACCACCCCAAACCCAACAACTCTTACTGTTGCCCACTAAAGATACCCTAATTCCCACTCCAGGATGGCATCCCAGTCACACCACTGCCAGCCAGCATCTCCACAGCGTCTCCTTTCAAGTCAAGTCAAGTCCATTGGCTTTGTTGACACGCCATACACATACAGGTATACAGTAGCAGGTAACAGCGTTCCCCCAGGACCTCGGTGTGATATATAACAACAGCAGAAATCTGCATGTTTTTTTTAGTGCCTTGTAGCAGATAATGCATCTGATGTAGCTGAAGATGGGAGAGCCCCACTGAGTTACCAGTTCAGGCAGCCAGTCCAGTTAAACCGGGAGCTCCTGTAAGCTCTTGATGGCATAGGTGGGCTGGGACCTCCTTTGGGTGACCCCCCCCCCACTGGGGGCCGCAGATGTGGATGTTCTTGCTGCACTTGAACACAACGCACCGCAAAATTGAGTGCTTAGAGAAGATCTTAAGCTTGGTGACCTCCGAGGACCCACTGAAAAAGCTGGAAGAACCTTCTGGAAGGAAGACAACATCCGGCACTGACTAACTTTTGGACACTAGACAGTCATATCCTGTGAGAAGCTCTGGACAGATACACAAGGACTTCATTATCTCCCTCCACATTTTTTGGGAACGGATTTCGGATCGTCGCTGCGTTCCCCGTCTCGGGTGTGCATTTCCCAGTCGTGTATCTCCTCCGCTCATTTATGCCTCAGGCCCAGAGTGCGTGACACAGTGCAGCCGTTTATGAGTGTGAATCCAATGCTGTTTGTCTATGTTTATTTTCCACTCGTGGTGTTTACAGTGCCGTGCAGATGGACCCACTCAGAACTTGGAATGCCGTGTTCCTCCAGAATTCTCTGATGGAATCCACCATTCGCTTATTGCTTTACTATCACAGACACCTGGACAGCTGCGTCTAGCGGCATGCTTTTTTTGCAGGGAGTCTCTGGCATCTCATGGTCCCGTAACTGTTGCCGTAAACCTGTCTGTTTGATGCGGTGATGCCTTTTTCAACATTTGCTCCACTCCTGTCGGTCAGAGATCATGTGAGTGCAATCTTTCTTCTCTTTCCTATGGGACAATGGAAAGAAGAGGCCAAAGAATGGGGGGGGCGGATCCTCTAAGGCAGAATCCGCCCCCAGCATGACTTACTGTGTCTGGTTTGCTGGCCCTAGCAGCCTAAATGGTTGCATTAATGTGTGCAGACAGACTCTCACAAACACACATTTAATGTTCATGAATAAAAACTAAATGAAGCGTGCACGGTGTACTCAGGGAATGGTGTGTAAAAGTGTAAATGTGAATAGCATGTGGACTGGCATATTGCCGCTCCCATCCACTTGAAATCCAGGTCTGTGCCCTCCTTTCTGACTCTTAGGATGGATCTTCAGGCTGACCCTTAATCCTCCCGCGCAGTAACAGAGTCAGTACACCCCACCCAGGTCTGGCACGCCATGGCCCAGTCTCCGCCCCCAGACTGTTGCACGCTGGCCTCTGTTCAGGTACTTTTTCCACCCAGCATGCCTTGCTGCCATAAAGCTTCTCAGCGATTGGCCTGGGAGAATCCTCTTAGCTGACGGCGGGGTCTGGTGACATCACCCGGGCCACCAGCAAGAAGAAGAAGCAACAGTAATACAATGTGTGTGTATGCGTGTGTGTGTATGCGTGTGTGTGTATGCGTGTGTGTGTATGCGTGTGTGTGTTTCTCATTCTAGAAACTACATCAATTTATAGAAAAACAACAGATTATAATAGTGCTTTTGAGGGCACAATCCCTTAAGATGCAGCTGAAAAGCTTTTTTAAACCACGCCTTCGCCCGTCTGTCTCTTTCAAACGAGCACTTATGAAGGGAGGTCAGGGGAACTGAGCGGCAGAGCGCCCAGGGAACGCGAAGGCGCCACCTGCACACACACCGCATCCTAAACGTACATCGTGTACTCAGGGAATTTCCTGCTCGTCTCCAATGCGCCGCACATCACGCACATTTAGCCGCACAGAACAGCTGTAGCCTAATGCTGCTAACCCTTGTTTACACATGGCACTCACTGCATCCGTGTTACGTAACGCTACACACTGCATCCGTGTTACGTAACGCTACACACTGTATTCGTGTTACGTAACGCTCTCTCTCCTGGTATCAGGGCGATTATGTAAAACAGCCAGTACCGTCAAAACGGCGCTATGCACTCGGGGCAAGCTGCGTGTCGGTCGCAGATTCCAGCTGCAAGGGGGGTTATCTAGTTACAGTCTGGCAGCCCCCCTAAGACTTTAGCCCCCTCCCTCCCCCCTAGTGATCGCATCACTTCCTGTTCTGGCTCCTCCGTTCTTATTAAGCCTGCGTTTCCCAGACCCAATGGGTGCTGCAGCTGAAGCACAGGAATCTCGGGGTAGTTAGGGAAGTTCAGGAAGCATGAAAAGATTCTTTTGAGTTTCACTGTTTTTTTGTCTCGTTGAATTTGGCAAAAAAAATCCACGAAAATGTTCTACATTCTTCTTCCGTGTCTGTGGCTTGACTTTTTTTGTTAGTTTTCCTGAGAATCTGTTCTTCCATACTACAGAGAATCTTTATTTTAAATCTAGCTACTTCCCTCTGACTGAAAATATGACATTGCTTTACTGTGAACAATGCAAATGTATGTTATATATAAGTGCAGTATATTCCTGTTGTGGAAGGCAGACATTACGGTCGCAGGGAATACCGCGATAATGGCATCTACTGGTCTGATAAGCCGACATCCCCCAAAGTTCTCGGTGACGGACCTGCTCATATTGTGATGTGTGTGAAGTTCTGGCTGCTTTTCATTCGGACCCACCCTGCCCTCCCCCCCCAAACATTTGTATCACTCCAATAGGGAGCACCTTACTTAACCATTAAAATCCCCCTGATTAAATTTCTCCGCCCCCCTTGTCGGCAGTGTGACGGCAGATGTTTGATGGTGTCCTGGTTTGTGGGGTCTCCACTCTGCTCTCTCGCCCTGCCTCCCTCTCCGGAGAGTCTGTCTTCCTCTGATTCTGCACAATGACCTTAATTTGGGGCACATGCACTGTTGGGCCGGTTTGTGATCCTGTGTGCCGCACATTTTGTGTAAATCTTTCGCTTGCTCTTCATGGCTTTTTAAGAGGATCTTCCTGCGGCTGCTTCTGCACCTGCTCCGTGTCTCCATAAATGTCCTGGGAGCCTGTCAAAAACTTTCACAGAGACTGGGAATGCAAAGTCCAGACTGCCTGGAGACTGCAGATCTATCGCCTCAGCTCCTCATCCCGCTGCCCAGCCATCACTGCATGCTTTACAGCCATCCCAGATGCAGACGTTGCTGTGACGATGCTCCAGTCCTCATTCCAGGACTACTTATCCTTCAGGTCACTGGGGGGGGGGGGGACAAAGCCACCTTATACCCAGATCACAAGCGGCCGTCTCCACTGACCTGGCCAATGGAAGCCGGGCAGTGGTATGTGGACCCGCCCCCCAGCTGTGTGTCCTGTGGCTCAGTGCACTGCAGGCTGACGGTCCAGCCCAAACACACCTCGTCAGCTTCACTGAGCTTTCACACCAGGAAACTGTGAAAATAAATCTGAAGCAAAACAGTTTGTTTTACACACATATGTGACATTTTAATTGTATTCGTCTTCATTTCACTACCATAAAACTTTATTACCCCAGTGGGAAAAACAGGTGCAAAAGCTGAATAAATGTGGCACTTACTTCACCCCTGTCACTTAGGAGACACTTTCAAGCACATGATTAAAACTCTGATTTCTTGGTTATACATGATACTACACCGTTAAGTTAATTACCACCATTTTTAACTGCAAAAGGATCTATGCAAAACGAACTCTGAAACCGATATCGCCGATTATAAACAGGAGCAGTCGGTCTCAGCGCCGATTCTCAGGGCGTCTGAGTGATTCTGAATGAGTGATGAGCACATCACTGCACGGGGCCTGGGGCCGGGCTACTGCCGCTGTGTCTTTCAGTTTATGTGCTGCATTTGATTTCCTGCCTCCTCTTCCCCTCAGCTGCAGCCTTTCAAGGGCGGTAGTGACTGTTTACATTAGTGACCCGCTTCCCGTGTGACAGGATCGACCCTCTCACATGACAACACATGCAGACTCCCCTGCTGGTCCCCTCGTCGTGACACTGGTGGCCTCTGATCTGCCCTCCGACATGCCAGTGGCATCCGGGGAAACCAGCTGGACTTCCAAAGCACCCTCAGGGGTAGCTGTGTTCTCGTGGCCTGACCGGGACGGCATTCGTCACTCCCGACGTGACAGGCGTGGGGAAAAGTCACGATTTACAGAGTGCGTTTCCCGGGATGCGTAATCTTACCCCATCCGCTCAGCGGGACACCTCATGACCTTTCTAACTGGTGAGCCAGTCTGTCCATCGCCAGTTTCCAGTTGTTGGTGCCAGTTTTTCGGGGGAAAATACCTCACCAATGCATGCTGGGATACGTAGGTGCGCTGTACCCACATGTGCCCTGCCCCACACTTCCTGCAAGGGCTCATGGGATATCTCCTGGCTCTCTGACTGCTTTTTGTTGTGCCTCTTGGCGTTGGCACGACGCCCCATCAAAGCCCTTCACTCGGTGCGAGTACGTGCTGCTGGGGCAGCATGGCTGCCGTGGAGTGGGTAGCAGGCTGGGTCATGTCAGGCGGACTTAAGCTGGACCCATGTACTTTGTTTGTTATCACGGGACTAAGATGAATCCTTTGCTGGGGTGTGTGTTGGGGGGGCGGGGGTTGATCTATTTTTACAATGAGAGAAGGGATATTTTCTTACACATGCAATGATTTGTGTGTGTGTGTGTGTGTGTGTGTGTGTGTGTAGCGTACCTTTCGTGCCAGTACGATATCCTCAGGAAACAGGCCTGCCTCATATCTGCCTTCATCTCAGAGCTGTACCCTGTACACTGGCTGCAGCCCTGTGTCCTCATTCACTCCGGTCTCTGAGAATCTCTGTCCCAGGACACGTGCTCGGAAGGAATCCCCGGTCCGTTCTGGCAAACTGTGAGCCTGGACATGGGCCCGTAATTATGGGACCTCCAGTGTCTGCACACCTTGCCATTGGACTGAACACATTCTCCTTGGACCGTCTTTCCATTTTCCAGTGGGAAGAGCTGCAGATGCCAGGTGTTGGATAACGGTTTTACGAAGCGTAGATCCTATTAGTCTGGGCGCCTAATCCCAAAACTAGCCTATAACAGAATCCTGTCAAAAGAAAAATTAAGTCTCGGAGCGATTATTCAGTAATATAATCTATGCTTAAAGGTATAACTTGGCATCAATTCATCTGAATCCTTAAGTGTAGCTTTGTTTTTTTGTTAATTCAGAGAGCTCATCTGTTTTGTCCAAGTGATCCAGTATTCATACTGGTACACCATCCCAGTTTCTCCTGAGTTTCAGCTGCAGATTTCGGCAGCGAGGAGGCTTCAGACTCCTCCGACTCCCTTCAAATTACCATCACAACTTCACTTCCTTCATCCCACGTCCTAACGACGCAGCATGATGCATCTGTAACAGTTTTACAGTGCATGTGCTGTGTATATAGGTCATGGGTAATGTTTTATGCGATCAGTTGAAAAGTTAATGAGTCTGACCGTGGCGGCTATTAAGGATAAGCTTGTGTAGTGAGGCAGGCGCCTCACCCGGTGTGTTAGCATGCTGATATTGGCTTGTGTCTTTATTTATATTGCTGTGGCAGTTTATGTTTATGAATACTGCAGCTGCGCGTTGAAGTAAGAATGGTTCTGCATTACAGTAATGCTACAGCGTTGCACCGTATTTAACAGTGTGTTACGCTGGGCGGCAGAGAGACATTCAGCGTGTGCGTGCGTGTGTGAGACTCCCACGTGGTGTGTTATACAAATTATATCATCCATTTTTCTGTACCCTTTCTTCACAATACTGCAGTTTGTTGGCCCTGCTTGTTGCATGGTAAAAAGATCAATTGTACTGCATGATTTATTTATGTTAATATTTTAGGAACACATCATATGTTATGAAATATAAGTGTATTGTGATTATCTAATATATATAGCGTATCTATAAAGAGGATGTCAATGTGGCGTCAGTGTGACATGTTTTGGAAGGTGAGTGCTTTCTATGATGGATATTGTATAGGGATTACATACGGGTGATTATATTAAGATACTGAGATGCTTTTGGATGTCAATAGGACAGGAGAGAGACATCCGGGGTGTTTCTGTGACCTCCTGTTAAACACGGGCGGAGTTAAACCGTGGATGTCCACCCAGTGTCCC